GGTGTCTGGACCCCGGGCGCGAGGGCGCTGATGCGGGCCGTGCTCCCCCAGGGCCCAAGGGCTGTGTGGGGAGGAAGTGACAGGCCCCGCCAGGGCCTTTGCAGGCTGCACCGGCTCTAATGGTTTCAAAGAATTTCAACAAGTTCCCAAGACACGACCTTCCCGTTCCGAAGCCCGCGCTGGCGGGCCCGCCTCTGTCAAGCTGTGCTTTTCTCAGTATCCTTTCACCCGATCTCCTGCAGCAGTTTTTAATACTTTTCCTACAAGTGAAGTTAAACTAACTGGCCTGTAATTTCCTGGTGCACCCCCCAAGCTCTACGAAATAACGGCATTACGTTGGCTGGCTTCCAATATTCCGGAATTTTTGTGTTTTCAAATGCAGGACCCACAAGTCCAGAGAACACTTCCTGCCTCCCTCCTGGTTTCTTCCATGACATCCTGCTCTTTCTGTTCCCAGGAGAGCTGCCATTTTAATAACTTCAAACCTCTTAAATGTTTCCACATATTATTCGTTCCTATCTCTGAAGGCTGGGGTTTCCATTTTTCATTCTGACAAGGGTTCACCCCACTCCAAAAATGTGCTTATAATTCTACTGAACAGTCTGTTCAAGACTGTTAATTGGAGACTCGCGAGGTTCAAGAGATGAGTTTCATACTAGGAATCTGAAAAGGGCGAACACTAGGTTATGGCTAAGTCTGTTTTTACTGAGTTATTCAGGATCCATGTTGAGAACTGAGCGGTGTGTCTCCACACCCAGGGGTAGGGGGAAAGATGGACCTACCTCTGGGTCCATCTCAGCTCAGGCACAGTGGCTGAAAATGTGGTGAAACGAACTAGACCTGAAGGCATAAACACAGTGCGCTTCCCGCATCTTTTAAAACTCCACTTGGCTCCTGACTCTAACTCTGGTATCAGAAAAAATTTCCAGATTTAAGGTTTCCCACTGATATCCATCAAAACAGTTCCAGTAAAGTATCCGCTAAAAAGGAAGGTCTGATTTTTGTTCTGTTACTGAGCAAAGAGGAAAATTAATAATTTTGTGCATTTATAAAGTTATACGGGATCACATAATCTTGAGGGTTGTACACTTTCTTTATTGCATAGAATTGAATTTTTTTTTTTTAATGAGTAAGCCACCAACGAGAGTGTGAGCATCTCTATGCCTTATACTGTTCTGTTTCGGCAGGTTTTAAGCTTTTGTGTGTCGGGTGGGTGGGTGGGCTGCCTTGTCTCCTCTGAATAAGTCTTGGACAAGCACAGGAACCTCGGCCCACGTGGGGACGGAGGCTAATTTCTCCCATCGTGGAAGGGACCCGCGGGGTGGAGTCTCCAGCTTGGAGGACAGTTGGCGCTGATGTCAGACAAGCTGAATTCATGATCCCCTATGAATGGGTGGCTTCTCCCTCCGTTTATCAAAGCCACAGTGTCAAAGCACAAAGCTGGTGTACCTCTTTTATCATGCCTGGTCACGGTGTGCCAGATCTCACGGTGAGTGGGAGAACACTCAGCTGCGTGAGACACAGAGAGCTCCGTCCGGGGGAATATTTCAGTCGGTTCTGAGTGATTGTTCACAAGTTCCTTTCGAATTTTGGTCAGAACTGAGTACACCCTCCCCGGAACCCCTGAATGAAAGGTGGGAGCCTTCACCTGGACCACCAGGCTCTCACACACAGAGGACGATGCAGAGCCAGTATATGCTTACGCCAGTGAGAAACAAAAAATAAACCTGCTGAATCTCAAAGGGTGGGTTCTCCCCAGGATTTGAAATGCTTTCTTAGTTTCTATATTAAGGTTTTAAAGGCAGGATTAAAAATATGTAGCAGGCCCTCCCTGGTGGCGCAGCGGGTTAGAGCACAGCACTGAAGAGCTAAAGCCACTTCCGCATGAGTTCGATCCCCACCTGCCCCGGAGGAGACCACACGGCGCGGCAGACCTCTCCTGACCCGCCCGCTGCTCCCCTCAGCAGTGGACTTCATCAGTCGGCTTGTTCTGCTCCCCACTCTGTCTCTGGTGAAGCCTCTCACTGCCCCTGCACCTCTGGCCTGTACCCCAATTCTGTGTGCATAAATAAATAAATCTTAAAAAAAAACAAAACAAACAAAAACACACGGGACCTGCCTGCCTGGCATCTTGCGTCTACTGCACTGAGAAGTACACTCAGTACAGGTGCATCTAGTCTTCTCCCCCTCTGGGCCTTGCTCGGGCGGTTTCTGTTACCTAGAAAGCCCTCTCCCGCATTTGGACGACAAGACCTTGCCATCCCAGAGAAGAGGGCTTTGAGCCGGGTGAAAGAGCTCTGGCCTTCACCTGAAGAGAAGTCCACCTGGTTTGACTTTCCATCGCACCCTTCTGCCGTCGCTAGGCCTCCCTCGCCCTGGCTGTCCAGCAGGGACACTGAGATTTCCTCGGGATTGTGTGTGGGTTAACTGGCGCAATACTCGCAAAACTCGCCATCATCAGCCCGGTCCCGGTTCCCTGAGGGTGCCACCTTCTCCGCAGATCTGCTCCGGGGCCCCACCCCGCCTCACCGGGCGACAGGCGACCTCCGGTCCTTAGAAAGCCTGCCGTGCAGCACCTGCCCCACGTGGGCATCTCCGAGTAATCTCTGCACTGTGTTATTATTCGCTCCTTTAGCGGACATTAATCGAAAGCCTACGAAGCATCCGACTGAAGTGCGTTTTTTCTTGTCCTTTATTTCAAACTAGTCCGTACGCCTCTCGAGGTGGACATCTTTCTCCGAGCCACCCCACCCCAATCCTGACAGTGTCTGGACGGGGCTTGATGCCAGGGCCTGAACAAGAATGTCCTTGTTACTGTTTGGTATTTGGTAAAACTGGCCACTGCAGGAGAGTGGGGCCGCGGACTGGACGCTGCTTATCTGCCTAAGGGGTCACTGTCTTCTTCATCTACTAAATTATACTTATAACAATAAAATAAAGTAAGAGCCCACATCCCTAGGACTATTCACAAAGAAGAAGAGTTTCTTCTGCTCCCACTGAGTCCTGGGAGTAGATTCTGCCAGACCCCAACATGGTCTCCAACAGGAAACGGGGAGTGAGCCGGTGGGCTGGAGTTCTGGGGGGCTGGCGCTCACACAGCTCAACGCAGGCTTTCAAAGAGCGGTGCTTTCTAAATAAAGCTTCTCTCCTACATGCAATACCACGCCCAGATGAAATTCTGAAGTTTCGGGGGGATCACACAGCTTCAGACGAGGCTGTGTCCACAACGCCAGGCCCTCCAAGCCTGAGCGAATCCTTCAGGACTGTGCTGCTAGCCCGGACGTTCAAGTGTAACTGGAACTATCAGAGCCGCAGTGGCTCTGATACCACGTCACCGGCAGAGCAGGACCGCGGCCCGTCGCGCCGCACCGCGGGCTCCGCTCGCTGCTCCTGACCGAGGGCGGGCAGGCCAGGCGGTCAGGGGCAAGCTGGCTGTGCTTCAGCAGCAGGCCAACGAGACTGCGACAGATAGCAGTCGGCAGAAGCGAGAGGGTTTGGTGGTACCTGCGTGACCTTCTCTCTCCAAATGGAGGCTTCAAAGAAAACTGGAGCCCTGTGAATTTCCCACCTAACCTGCGCTTTTGTTACTGTCTTCTGCCCCCGCTACCTTTTCCTTGGAGAGCGAAATCGACTGCGGATAACAGGCTCCGAGGACCCTATCCGACGCAAGCGCTCTCATTTGCTACGACGCTGCCGGACTCGCAGCAGGAAGAGGCTCAGCGTCCGCCGTGGGCAGGTGCTCGGAGGTCAGAGACCCCAGGAGGGCCGGGCCTGTGGCCCTTTCGTGGCACCTCACATCCACCTCAGCATGAAGTACCAGGTCACAGGGTCGCTCCCCATCAGCAGGGTCCCAGGTGCCCAGCGGAGGTTGGAAGCGGGGCGCCCCCGCCAGCTGCCCTCTCCACTGCCGGCCTTAGGGCGGCGCCGATCAGGGTTTGCTGGGTTTGCTGCATGTTCTTCATGCATTTTTGCAGCAGTGATTGACGGGACGCACGTCTGGTGCAGCCAAGGTCCGGTCTCTGTGGTGGCCGCTTGCCTCCCCTTTTCTTCTGGAAGCACTCAGGAGAGGGTAAGCCCGTGGGCGTGGGAGGCTGGCTGCCCAGAGGCTCGGTGGAGGAATGCGGCCGAGCCAGATGTGAGCGGGACCTCCCCTGAGCCAGGGCTGTGCAGCCCAGCGTCGCCGCCACGTGTGGCTCAGATGCGTCCGGCCCGCCCTGGGCCTGCACACCGCGCGAGCCCACATCCAAGCCCAAGTGTCTGCCCGCATTAGACGTCAAACCCGCCTGTTATCATCTCTGATTTTCACTGAGCATCTTTGAAGAAGAAAGAGTCCGTTGGGGGGCTAATTGGTCCCAGGCCCCGGAATCGGACGTGGATTTCTAGGGCTACTTGGAGGAACGCCTCCAGCACTTTCCGGACCGCGTGGCCAAACGCTCCAGCCCCGGCCCACCGTCAGGACATCACGCCCAGAGCTACAGGGCGTTATCTGACTCCAAGGGCCTGTGTTCTCCACCCTAGGGAGGGGGCGTTTGCAGAGATAATGCAATAAAACCCACACTATGGCCCCCACCAAATCAAACAGTGAGACTCCTCCCGCTGACGCAACACGGGTCCACTTGCCCCTTGTTTTGTACAGAAAACACCTTCTGGGGCATTTTCACAGTTGCTGCTAGAATGAAACAAACACCATACAACACGCAACGTGGCCTTCGAATACCATCACACACCACACATAAGTGTGTAACCACCACCACGAGCAGTACCGCCAAGCACATCGCAGATAGAAGTCTGAGTTGTGTTCTTTGCTTGGAGGCCGGGGTGGTGCGGACCAGCCCAGTCAGCCCTACACGCCTCCTGGAGGAGCTGGAGCAAAAGGCCGGCGGATTTGTTAGACGCCCGGATCACACAGCTCCACTGAAGAGCCGCCAGGCGACTCTCGGAATGTCCCATCAGCACTCCTTTTCTGAAGGTGGCCAAGATCTCAGTAAATACTCACCTACCTCATAATACAAAGGAGGAGACACTCCCACAGGCTTCTTCGCCCTCTTAGATGTAGCTCCAAAAAGCGCATTTGCTTCATTGACCTGGAAGAAAATGAAAATCATCCATCATTAAAATGTCAGGCTGCCTTCATGAGTAGCTAGATACAGTAACCTTCAAATACCCAGCTGGCTCTGAGCGGCTGGGGGACGGGGCGCAGAAGAGCTGGGCGCTGGCTGAAATATTTCAGTACAACCTGGTAACGGTACCAGTCTGTGTGAAGCTGCTTCCTGCCTTTGGACAGCTACGGTGGTGTCGGGCCACGAGAAGGCATCTTTGCAGCCAGCTGGGGAAGCCCCTTTATTACTATTGAACCTTCTGTTCAGTAAGTCTTGGTGGAACCTGGTGGAGCCTTGGAAATGTCTGCTACATGGATGAGCATTCAGAAAGCAACGCTCATGAACAAAACATAAAATTGCTCCATTAAAGGTTGCAAATTCACTCCAGCTAAGGGTTTGTCTGGAAGGATCCACCGAAATGGACCCGAGAGCCCAGCCTGGGATAGTTTTACTGATGATACAGTTTTATTTTATTCTCTTAAAAACAGAAGGCTGCAAGGGGCGGAGGGCAGGAGGCGGCAGGTACCTGCTGCAGGATGTCTTGCCAGGAAACCATGCTGAAGAGCTTGCGCTGAGGCACCTGCACCGCCAGGGCCAGGGCGCCGAGGAGAAGGTCATCCTCGACTTGGTTTCCAACTACAAAAGCGATGGAGCCCTTCCAGTCGTCCTGTCACAGAAACACAAAGAGCCAGATTCTCAGACCCCCTGTCCGGCAAGGATGTGGCGGAAGCTGTCCTGAGAAACAGAACAAACCTCCCTGCAAACTACTTGGAGGCTGGGCGAGCCGTGCACCTGCTTCAAGCCGCCGCAAGGCGGCAGTGTTGGGCCAGGTTTCATGCCACTTTACTCAAAAGACAACTTTCTTGGGACACCAGACATTTTCATGGTAAGGGAGATTTTTTTTTTTTTCTTTGCCCTAAAGAACATACGTCGACCAGAGTGCTGTCCAAGTGTAATTTCGTGTTGGAGAGCAATAGTTTGCTCGTGGTCTACAAATATACATGAAGACATGACCTTGAAAACAAGATCCTTTGTCTTGTTCCCTCACACAGCCTAGTGCTTAGAAACATAGTAGGAGCTCAGGAAATAGTTGAAGAATCTTGAGTCACAGTGAAACGATGCCAAGTGGGCTTTCACTGAGGTAGAGATTCAAGCCCTGACGTTTACGTTAAGCCTAGAACTAGAGCGTCTTTTTGTTCCGAAGTAGCTTAGTCCTCTCACTGCTCATTCACAGACACGTCTTCCGACTCCCAAGTTCAAATATTAAACGGGGACAAACCATTTTGCATCCCAAACTTTAAAGGAATAAGTGACAAAAGGCAACTGTGTTCTTGTTTCTAACCCCTTTACTGTGCTCTGTAATCATTTCTGTTGGGAAGCAGCCATTCTTCATAGGAGATTAAGAATGGAATTGGCTGAATTACCCACAGTGTAATGCTGAGAAGAGCTAAGCTCCCAGGAGTTCGCTCTAGTGCTTTTGAACGCAAACAGTGTTACTGAGGGACGGATCAAGCAAATACCATGGATGACAGGCAAGGGGAGGATAACAAGGAAGGGAGTTCTAGCCACGTGACTTCTGAGAGCTTAGTCCCCATCTGCAAAGTACAAGGGTTGGCTGTGGCGATGCCTAAGCCCCCTCTCTAGTTCCATTCTAAAACAGACTCAACTAGAGTAAACCATCCCTCCTGGCGGATTCCAAGACAGTGGCTGAGAAGATCTGAAAAGGTTTTACGCAAATTTGATGATATGTGTATTTTTAATAGCTCACTCAGGTCCTGGGGTATGGCTGGGAGAAAGGATCTCACTACAAGTTCTTGCTGACCAAGGTGACCCCTACATTTCTCTCCAGGGGAACTTACTAGCAGCTTATAAAATCTATCCCGTTTTCAACGTTATTGCCAAAACAAAAACCACAGGTACAAACATACAACTGTGTGTTTTACCTACAGTGTGCGTGGGTGAGCGGGTGTGTGTGTGTGCGTTTGTGGTGCCAAGGATTTCCCTGTTATGCTGAGTTAACAAAGGCAGCTAACTCACAAAGAAGACTGAGCACCTGCTTGTTCTTTTGATATTCTGTTATTGAAAATACGGTCAGGTATTTGAAAGCCTCTGTTTGAAAAAGTTCCACTTTCTCAAATAGACCTTTCCCGCATGAGAAAGACCTTCCTTTTCTCCAGTGGGCTCCCCGCCCCCCACAAAGCTGAGGAGGGCTTCCCTGTCCTTCTAGGGGGTGCACACTGGGATGCTGACCAGAGGGCTCCGTGGACCGCAGCTTCTCTGGTTTCCGACACTGAGAAGCTTCACTCCCTCCTCTACCTGCTATGAAGATCCTTGCGATGCCTGAGAGCTGACGGTTCAAAGGAATGAAACGGCTGTCTCTCAGGGTTCTTTAAGAGCAGGGAAAATTCAACAAAAGGCATTGCCACCCACCATCTCCCCATCATTATCTGGTATCAAAGGCAGGTGTTGACCATTTCAGACTAGAATAAAGAAGGGAGCAGGAGGAGGAAGGAACCAACAATTATTGAGAATCTGCCATGTGCCCGGCATATGTCATCTCATTCAATTCCTAAGGAATACTTGAAATAGGTGCACTAATATTTTATGAATGGATACACGGAAGCCCAATGAAGTTAAATAACTTGTTCGAGGTCGTTGAGCAGACACGTATGGAGACGACAAATATGGCTTATAATGTAAGCATTTCAGGGCCATCTGGAGAGCAGGTCTTTGGGGTCAGAATGGCTTCCCACCACCTTCAAACCGCGTGGAATGCCCACTTCGGCCACTGTAAATGTCGCCGGAGAAGGTTTATATTGCATGTTAAAGTGTACAGAGCCTAAAAGTAAATTATGTATTACATGCTTAAAACGTGGTTAAACAGCCTTTTTTTTTTTTTTTTTTTTAAATAAAGGGTAGTTTTACAAAGGCTCCACGAGGCTCGGGACATCCCCCAAGCCTCTTGCTTCTCAAAGCCCAGTGCTCTCGTCACGGTGCTCCAAGACACATCGCAACACAAGCGTTACTGCCATCCAGGGCGCTACTGGAAACATCGGGGTGCCCTCTAATCACCTTGAGACAGTTCCCTGGACCGGACCAGCTGCAGCTCTGTTCAGGCTCCGAGTCCTCTACAAGGCCCACTGGGCGGCTCCCCGTGGAAGAGGGTTGAGGCTGGGCCTCAGCTTCCTCTCTGTACCCTTCAGCCCACGAAACTTCTGCTCCCTAATCTAACATTTGGCAAGACAGGTCCAGTCGAAGACTCTGTCCGAGTCACGGCGTAGAACCTGATCGCACGTCCAGAGTCCAGGCAAGCGTGAACTGGCCTCGTGTCCACACCAGAGGAGATGAGGCAGCGCAGGGATTCTACCACACCAGCCCGGGGGGCCTGCACCTCTCCTGGGAGCTGCACAGGGGCAGTGAGGTGCCAGGCAAGCGGCGCCTAGACCCCGAGAGCTCACCTCTCCCGGGTTGAAGTGGGGGAACCGGGAAGCGAGCAGTGCTCCCCAAATATGGTTTCTGGATCTTTCAGGGTAACGGTAGAGCCCAAATTTCTACTAATTGACAACAGTTCTCGAAATAGAAAAATTGCTTTGGATAAAAATTGGACACAAATTAGATTTGGCAAACTATTATTGAAAACACTCCTCCACCCGAACCCCGCCCCAGCGTGAGTGAAATAAGGTCCTTCAGTCTGAGTGTACGGAGCAGCAAGGGAAATCGGGACCAGATAAAACAGAGGTGGACCTAGGCGGGACGGGCCAGCTCAGTGTCGGGCCGAGCCACCACGCCCCAGGGGGTGCTGGGGCGAGTTTAGGACAGGCCAGGGCAGTCTGGGTGGAGCCACAGACCAAGGGAAACAAACGCTGATGGCTTTAGCACCTTAGAAAACCTGCACTGGCGGGATCGGGCAGGGCGGGGAGGGTCTAGTCTGGCACCTCCAGTGCCTGGGGGAGTCGAGTCAGCTCCAGGGCCTGGGCCTAGCTGGACTTGGCCATGGCCGAGCCGGGCCTGGTGTTGCTGATAACGTCACTCCGGAGGCGGGATGAAGTCATGTATGGACACAGTCCACTACCTTTGATCTGCTTTACTAACCTCACCGAACTTAAAGGCGGGCAGCAGGCAGCCTCAGCCCCAACGCTTACTGGTCTCCTTAGGAAGGACGGGCGGCTGGGGACTCCCGCTCGCCTCCCCGCCCAGAAGCACAGGGTGGGCTTATCACTTCTCTGATCTACTGCAGAGTCTCTAAATTCTACTCAGATATTCTTTTATTTTAGGACGATTACCAACAAGGCCCTTTCCAAAACAAGTGGGAAGCAGCTTCCGCTGCCATCGGGGGTGTCGGGTTGTGTGTGGCCCTGCAGGAGCCGAGCTGAGAACCCCAGTCCTGTCCCCGGAGCTGGGCAGGCTGGCACATGCGCTGGGAACTGACCAGAGCGTCACTGGACAAGGGACAGCGAGGCCCCACAGCTCTGCGTTGCCAGGAATGGCCGGGCGGTCGCGTGGCCGCGCGGACATGAACTTCACGTCCATGCTCTGCTGAAAGGATCCCCTTTTTGTTCAGCAGATTTACTGCCCAGCCTCGGGGATCTGTGAATGTCTTTCTCATCTGGGCTTTTCCTTCAAAAGGAGTCTTGGAGCTCCATCAGCAAAGGAGTGTTAGTGCAGGCCGTGGGCCAGCCGGAGGAATGTTTTCCTTACATTATTACACAGAGCTGGCTGTCGTCATTGTATTTGTTAAAAAAAGGGTTGTCGTTATAAAGAAATTGGAAATACAGGTTAAAAGTTTTTCCCAGGGCCCTCCCTGGTGGCACAGCGGGTGAAAGCACAGCACTGAGAGGCTAAGGCTACTTCCGCATGAGTTCGATCCCCGCCTGCCCGGGAGGTGACCACAGGGCGCGGCAGACCCCTCCTGACCCGCCCGCTGCTCCCCTCAGCAGTGTGCGTCCTCTCTCTGCCTGTTCTGCTCCCCACTCTGTCTCTGGTGAATCCTCTCACGCCCCTGCACCTCTGGCCTGTACCCCAGTTCTGTATGCACAAGTCACATAATAAACAGGGACGTGCCTACGGACTAGGAGCTGCAATGTCGGACGCCTCCTGTGTCTTCAAGGACAGGCTCCTCCCTGTTTCTTGTGGGGTTTTCAGTTCGAGGTATCACGGCCACATTGGGTAAGTCCTGTTCTTCTAGGCACTGGTGCACACGGCTGTCAAATTTTCTCACCTCGAATGTAAGTTCTTGGATTCCAGAATTCTGTTTGGTGCACTTCTGCACCCTGCGGTGCCCAGCACAGAGTGGGGGACAGAGCAGGGTCCTCTATGGAAGTGACCACTGATCAGTATTTTAAAGGAACAGAGAAAAAGCTTGGCCGTGGAGGCCTTTGATCCTGGGATTCAGAAAGTGCTAGCACGTAGCATGACAGGAAACGGGGCCGGGTTTACTGCCTGTCCACCACCCGCAAGAGTTTAAGGAGGAAAACTGACAGTTGTTGATCTGATGTGGCTCAGGAACAAGGGCCAGAGGAGTTGGGCCCTTCGGCCACCCTCAGGCTAACACGAGTTCCGGGCAGTGGCTAGGGAACCTGACGCCAGGGGAGGGAAGGAGGCAGCCCAGAGAGCCGGGAGCGAGGGCCGCTCTACTCGGCCTGCCTGGAGACCGCTCTCCAATGCTTC